ACACAGACAGAAACGGAGACACATGTGTGTGCTCTAATGGTTCCTTGTTCCTTGCCTGCAAAAAAAAAATCATTGGTGTATGTGTGTGCAGACCTGGCGGAGAAGATCTATGACTACCTTGACCTGGCGGAGAAGATCTATGACTACCTTGACATCGCCAAGAACATCACCGGGAGCATCACTGACAAGGTCTGTCAGCCACCGAATCCTCCCCTCGACACCCCTCCTCCATGATTCGTGTGTCATGTGCTCGTGTACAGCCCGACGATGGCAATGGTGACGGTACTGGCGACGATAAGGACTATGACCTTGACCTGGACGTTCTCGACACGATCTACGACGACGTCAAGGACGTGATCGACGGTGAGTGACAGAGGGGAGCATTCAGTGTGGTGCACAGACGTGGCCTGTCTGCCTTTCTGCCTGTCTATCTGCTGTGTGCCATCCATCCATCCATCAGGTGTCGATACCATAGATATCTACGACGATGTCAAGGACGTTGTTGACCGTAAGACCCGACACGCCCTCACACACGCGTGTAGCTGACTTGACCCCTCCCACCCCACATTTGTGTGCGTGCAGAAGTGGATGACGCCTCCAAGGACGTGATCGACGGCGTCGTTGTGGCGATCACAAAGGTCCTTGACGAGATCCTCATCGGAGGTCCGGTTGCGGACGTGACCGATAAGGTCGGGGACGCCATCAAGATCGGCGACAAGTTCTACAGTGGCGTCAAGAACATCATCACTGGTGCGTCCCATCCGTCCTATCACACTCACGTGAGCACGCCTTTCTGCCCGTCTCTTTTGACATCTGTGCAGGCGTTGAACTGGGCGTCACTGGCATCTTTAAGGGTGATCACAGCACAGCAGCCGACCTGAGACAGCAGCACACCACTGTTTCCGTCTCTGTGTGCGTGTCAGACATCATTGAGAAAATCGGTGGCTCGATCGACAAGGTGGTCAAGATCGGTAACGGCGTTGAGGTCGTCGCCGACAAGCTCAAGGACATCTCGCTCCTCCCCGACTACGACTTCGACAAGGTCCGCGACAGCCTTGAGGACCTCTTCGATAAAGTCGACATCGGTGCGTCAACACGCGAAGCCAGACAGACAGGGATCTGCGTCTCATGTCTGTGCGTTTGTATATGTGTAAGATGAGTACAAGTTTTACCTGTACAACCTGACCGACCTGGACAAGATCCGCGACCTCGTCGACTACGACAAGGCCATCGAGGACCTCGGCGACATCATCTCGCTCATCGACCTTGGAATCATCAAGGACGTCGGTACGTTTGGCGCCACACGCACACACGCACACACACACACACACACCCATCCTCACCACTCTCTCCCCCTGCCACTCCGTGTCTCCCTTTGTCTGTCTGCAGATGTCATCCGGAGTCTGGACATCATCAAGGAGATCATCCCCGACCTGTACGAGAAGGGCCTGCTGCCCGGACTGGACCTGACAGACCCCCTGAAGGGCCTCTACGACATCGACCTCGACATTCTCAAGGACATCGACCTCCTCTCCCTCGACCTTGACTACCTCAAGGGCCTCCTCACCAGGCTCTACGAGAAGGGTCTCCTTTTGGACCTCGGCGACCTTGACAAGCTGTTCAGCGAGGACGAAGGACGGCGCCTCCTGGAGGCCGACGTGGACATCCTCTCCAAGATCGTCCCGGACTTCACAGCTCTCGACAGGCTCCGCTTCGGTCAGAACACCAGAGGCCAGGAAGGAAGGGGAAAGCTGAGTCCGTTTGATCAGTGCCGTGGTGCTCTAATGTGTGTATGTGTGTGCAGGCTTTGACGACATCATCCTGAACTTCCCTGGCTTCAAGCAGGAGAGCGAGACCCAGGCCTGCCTGGTTGACGACGATGCGGCAAAGGAGAAGGAGTCCTTCTTCGGCGAGGGAGAGATCACCGAATACGAGTGCCTCTTCGCGTAAGCAAGAAGCCCATCCATCCATCCATCCACTTGTGCCACCCATCCCCCGTCTGTGTGTGCAGATGCTCACTTGACCTCTCGTGCCAGGCTGTTAATTTCGGCTACACTGACGAGGACGGCAAGGCCGAGGCGCAGTGCAAGCTGATCTCCAAGGCCATCAAGGGCACCACAAGCGTCAGGTGCTTCAGCCTCGAGGATGCGGAGGATGAGGATGCGACCGCAGACAAGGAGCTCAAGGAGGTCGGCGTCGGCGCATGCAGACGCAAGGACGGCTCCATCCCAGAAGCTGAGGAGGGTGAGCGAGCGAAGGAGGGAGGGAGAAAGCAATGCGTCATGTGTGTGTATGCGTGTGGATGGCTGTGCAGAGCTGACCGTGGCTGAGCAGGGTGCGTGCCAGCACGCCTGCGTGTCATCTGGGAGCTGCAACGGCTTCGAGTTCGCCAAGAAGGGTGAGAATAACTGCAAGCTCTTCGATGAGGACAACAAGCCGGCCACCTCATCCACACAGAGCTGCAGCGTCAAGGTCAGTCAGCTGACACGCCCAGATAGATAGAGGGAGGGAGACCTAGGTGTAATGGTTGCTGTCCTGTCCTGTGGTGTGTGTGTGTGTGGTGTGTGTGCAGCTCTTCTCCCGCTCATGAGGCGTGTGAAGTGACTTGAGGAGCGGGCATGTGTCTGTCTTGTCTGTGTGGGGTGTGTCGTGTCTCTGGGGTAGCTAGGTCATGCTTGCTTTGTCTCTGTGTCTCTACCCCTCCCTCTCCCTCTTCCTCTTCCTCTCGCTCTCTCCGTCCCCTGCGTAAAGAAGGCTAAAGGCAGGCGGTCATTTCTGTCGATGTACGGGCGCTCGTTGCTTTCTCTTGCCCGCCTGCATACGATCAGTAAGTACGCTGCTACATGTACATATCGCCATTACAAAACATACCTATCTATCTATCTATCGCTAGAGTTTTCATTTTATCCGATGTCATTCATCATGCTATGCACACATGCTACGACAGCTTTCTGTCTGTCTGTTTGTCTCTCGTCTCTCTCTCGTCTGTATGTATCGATCTGCCTGCCTGTAGTGTCTTGCTCACTTGTGTGTATAAGTGTTGAGCAGGAATCTCGCGATGTTCCCCCCCTTTCAAAGGACAAAGGGGGAGATAAGCGTCTTCCTGTGTGTAGTGTGTGTGGCGGGCCTTACATACTTATATTTATGAGGACGCACATCACTCACATCCACACGCTTTAATGTATGCATGCCATCAATGTCTGTTGTGTAGATCGATGTACAGAGACTCAGTGAGTGGAGCGACATACAGAGACAGAGACAGACAGACAGATCGACGTGGACTGACGAGTGCATGGCATGGGTCGGTGTGGATGAATGTATTTGCCGCCCGTTTTGCTTCGATCGATCGACGAGAGACTTACAGGCAAGCTTTGCTGCATGTAGGCTGGCTGGCTGGCTGGGCTGCTGACTGACTGACGCATTGTCTGTCACAATGTTCTAATACACACCTGACCTGCATGCATTGCCTGTCTGTGTTGTTACTTGCGTGTGAGTGAGACCTTTGATGATGATAGTCCTCCTGTCAATGTAAAGGGTCGGTCGGTCGACTCAACACAGACAGACACTCTCACACACACCCCTCCCTCACACACCCCTCCCACCGAACTCTGCCGCACATAGAACCCAACCTGTGGATGTGTTGCACTTGTGTCGCACACGCGCAGACGAAAAGCGCAGACCCCACGCACAACTAGGGTCCAGATGAGCACATCAGCAACCTCCTCACGCGCCTGCAATCGGAGAAAGCCTCGCGCATGGCGATCGGCAAAGTGCGAGCTTAGACGTGGGGAAAGGAGAAGGACGCACAGACCCCGCCAAATACCACAAATCAGCAGGAGAGAGGCTTACAGTAAAGCTCTACCTATATTGAGCTCTACACGTGGCCAGAAGCAGCCAGAAGGTCAGATGTGCTGACATCTCTCTCTCTCTGTGTCTGAGTGTCCAGAGATGCAGGTGTTGCACGAAGACGAGAGCCTGGTGCACGTGCAGACCTGACCGAGGCTGAGAAGGGTGTGGTGCGTTCCAGCACGGCGCGGATTGGTTGGTGGAAGTGATGCAGAAGAGTCGACTACGCGAGCCCTTCCGGCTGGTTGGTCCGTTCCCTGTGTCCTACACGGACGACACCGATCTCGTGATCTTCACAGCGGATGTCATCCAATACACGAAGGCTTACGCAGCTCTCCCGCACGTGGGGTTTGAGAGGCACTGGCAAGCCTTTCCGCCGTTGTTCAAGTACCTCCGCAAAGAAGCGAGTGACCTGTGGGCAGAAGCGGTGGCACGAGACCGCCTGCCACCATGCCTCATCAAGGACGTGTTTGTTGAGGAGGGGACGCCTGACAAGCCAATCGTCATCGAGATCGAGCCGCCAAGTACGTGGGAGAGCGTTACGAGTGACGACACACAGCCGTCGTTCGGTGTTGGGCACGTGGGTGCCTGCCGCTGGCGTGTGTGTGTGTGTGTGTGTGTGTGTGTGTGTGCAGACGTGGTGTTGGACGCTGGTCGGTGGATAGGGAGCTTCTTTACAGCCGAAGAGGCAGCCAAACCTCACTCAGTGGAGAACGGCGTGTCTGACCCTTCTCCGTCTGAACGGCCATCCTTGACGAGCGTCGTGCAGCGGCAGAAGAAGGGCTCATGACACGAAGAAGCCAGATGGTTCGTGGCCCGCCGATATGTCTGTCTGCCTGATTGTGGATGTGACTCTATGGGAGCAACCCCGCTGTCTGCATCCATCGGATGTGTTCGTTCGTGGGACGCTCGTTGTCCAAGCAGCTGTGTTGGTGCGTTGATCTCCCTGATCAGCTTAAGCAACGATGAGAGCTGAGAGGGGATGCACGTAGAGTGGCTGAAGCCGAGACATCGCGATCGTCAGCTGACTGGCCTGATGTCTCTGTCATGCCATGTGTCCCCCCCTCCCCCTCTCTCCACACACACGCAGTCCCGTCAGCACAGCACAGCACATGCACACACACACACACACACACACAGAGAGAGAGAGAGAGAGAGGTCCAGCCAGCCCGGCCCGTCCACAAAATGGCGGTCCACAAATCGGGCACGAGACACACAGACAGAAGACATGGAGGCGCACACTCTTGTGTGAGTGGAGACACACTTGTACGTGCGTATGTTCGTCCCACCCATTCCATTCCTTCCTTCCTCTCTGCTTGGGGCGGGCGAGTTGCGTGATAATCGGGTTGGATGGGGGTGTGGGGTGGGGTGGAAAAGTGAGCTGCACTTACTGTCTGTCATCCTTGCTTGCTACCTGGTCCCTTCCTTCGTTTGGCGGACACGGAAAAAACCAACCAACGATGGATGGACAACGACAAAGATGTGGAAAAGTGCAGCAGGCAGGGTGTGGTGTGTTGGAGAGCAGAGAAATGAATCCATGGACAGACACACATTTCAACAAATGACCCATCACGCAGGCGGCCCCTCCCCCCCCCATCCACCCACCCATTCCCCACCCCAGGACACACTGAAAGAATCAAGGAGAACCGAAAGACC